GAACAGTTACCGTTACTTGTAACTGGTCGTTACCGTTACTTGTACGGTAACTGCTTACACGTTACCGTTACAAAGAACGGTAACCGACCAGCAATTACAGTTACTGTAACGATAATGGTAACTGTCATAGCCCTACGTAGAACATAAAACAGCTTGAATTCTTTTACTCAGACTCTCAATTGCTTACCATGTCTAATTTTGTGAACTTGAAATTGTGCAATTTTTTTGGCAATGACGAAGAGCCCTAAATCGATTATAAACGATCATAGGGCTTTTAAGAAATCTTTTTTTTATTTTTTATTTATTTATTATTTTTTTATTGCTATTGCTTTGTTTTCACTAGCTAGGCCTTCGCGCCTCTCGCTATGCTTGCAGTATGAAAGAAACAAAAAAACGGATTTATATACAGATAGAAACAAAAACAAAGTTGTAAAATTCACTCATTAATGAAACTTAAGATTAAGTCGAGATAGCTCCATTTAATTGTTGCTAACGAGTGACATATCGAGATGGTCGTCCTTCTGGTAGATGGTGAATAAACGGGTATTCACGATGCATAAGAAAAAACATTTTTGTTGCCGATTGTTGTATATACTGTTCGAAAAATTGTGGAATTAAAGTAAAAGCTTTTGAAATGAATCTTGATAAAAAGGTTTTACTTCTGTCATGTATCGTCTTGAAGCTATTTCGGCATTCGTTGCATCCCACCATTGTTGAATCAGATGATGGATTTGGCGATTGTTTGCTTCTATTTTTGACGTTGCTGTCTTCGAGAGTGAGGGCCAGACAACGTAAATTTGTTGGAAATAGGGCAGAAGGAAAGCGTTAAATATTAATCGTCGGCTCCTATGACTCGATGTTTTTGATCTTATAACGGATTTTAATGTGGCACTATTTTGTTTAATTTTCGTCAGTACTTTTGTCACATGAGTAGTAAATGACAACTTTTCATCTACGTAATATCCTAGATACTTAAAAACAATCACCCGTGACAGAATGGCTTGTCCATATCTCAAAACTATTTGTGGTACAGATATTCTAACATATATCCATTGCCAATGAGTTTTCTTTATGTTAACAGACTGTTTCTAGTTTGTTGCATATGTTTCTAACTTTCATCAAGTACTTTCTGTCCTTGATTTTATATCTCATTTGCAAATTCATCATTGTTCCAGAATGGTGATGGGCGTATGATAACAGCAAGATCATCGGCATATAGGTGATTATGACTGGCTGATGGTAAACTCTTGGGTAAATCTGTGTGGTATAGTAGAAACAGTATCGGCCCGAGACAACTTCCTTGGGGTACACCACGTTTAATTGAGAATGTGTTCGACTTTTCGTTCCCCATTTGTATATATGATGATCGTCCAGTTAAATACATGCTTATCCAGCTGAGCAGTTCACGAGGACAGTTCAACTGAGCAAGTTTGTAGACGAGGCCATCGTGCCATATTTGATCAAAAGCTTTAACAAAGTCAATATCATGATATACATGATGAGTGATGCTGTGTGTTGCTCTAGTGCGGTAGTACAATCTTCAAGAAATTGAGTAAATCTTGTTGTTGTTGAGTGAGCTGGTCTGAATCCTGATTGTTCGTCGGGGAGTATATTGTTTTCTGTCATCCACCTTCTGATGTAAATAAGCATACATTTTTCGAAAACTTTACCAAAACACGATATTAATGAGATCGGTCTGGTGTCCTCAGTTGAGATCAACGATGCTTTTTCTTTCGGAAGTAAGAGCATTTTTGCTGTTTTCCAATGAGACGGATATAAATTTGTGGTCAAAAGTTTATTGAATGCTACCAGAATAAACGAATAATGAGATTGTGGAAGGAGTTTAATCATTTTATTTGAAACTTTATCCGGTCCAGATGATTGTTTAGCTTTGAGGCTCCTAATAGCCCATCGAAAATCATTCATGGTAAAAAGAAAGGATTTCGATGGTAGTGCATTTAAATGATTGTCGAAATTTTTAATATAATTGTTCACACGTACATCAGTTGGTGAGAGATAATTGACTTCGTAGTGTTTAAAACAATGAGAATAATACTCATAAGCATGATCAATCATCAACGGAGTGTGGGTGATGATCGTAGCATCTGGCTTTATAAAAGGCCACTGATCGGTGGTGTAGGTGGTTTCATTAGATTTTTTGTATGTCTCCAAAACTTCGTCGGCTTTTTTTGCTCGAGTTCCATACAAAATTTTTGCCACTGTGCTCTTTTAATCGCCTGATATTCATATTTGATGTATCTGTTTACTTGATTTAGTAGCATTTTTAATTCTTCGGTCTTTGGCTCTTTGTAAAATTTTCGTACTTCTTTTCGATAGGCTAGTACGCTGACAAGATAGTGAGATATTGACGGTTTATAGCGATTTGCCATTAAAAAAACCGTACATCTCTCTCGTAGTGCTATAGGGAATTTCTCATAAAGAGCAATTGCTTCAGATGGTTTGTCTTTCATTTTATCGAACAAGTTATGCCAGTACGGCTGTAGTCGCTCTAGAATCAATTGAAATAACCACCAGTCCGTTTTTCGAATAATATACGTGTCATTTTGTGCCGACGGGAAAGATGTTAAACCTCAATTTACTGGGTAATGATCACTGATCTCTGTGGTGTGATCCGGTATCGCATTTTCGGTTGTAATACTTATCGGTGCGATACAAATATCTATAATTGCTCTCGATCGCCCGGAAGTCTGCATGTCGTTATTGTGCACTTTCAATATTGGATGATTATCAAGCCAAGCATCTAACTTCGTTCCCTTTTGATTCAATTTCATGTCATTCCAAGATGGATGGCATTGAAATCTCCGATTATGATTAGATTTTTATTATAGCCGTAGAGATCGTCGAATATTTTCTCAGGAAATACTTCCTTTGGTGGAGAATAGCATGTGGCTATTGTATGTTTCGTATTATTTATATAAATATCGAGCGTAATCAAATTTAGAGTCTTATCGAATTGTTCCACAAACGTGTGTTTTACGTTCTTACGTACCACTAAGGCTACGCCTCCAAACTCGTTCGTTCCCTGTTGAAAAAATACTGTATAGCTCGATTTAAGGTCCGATGCTAAGCTATGATTTGTTTCATCATGAGTCCCAATACCGTTTAACGCAAATACAGTCGGGTTTTTGGTGTTAACATAGTGGAGAACAATGTAGCACGAGGCTTCCAACATTGAATAACATTATTCCAAAATGACTGTTAACAGCTGTTCGAACAGTTATATTATGTTTATGCCAGTCACTGAGAAGAGCGTTTAGTGTAGCAGTAGCGGACCATTCATTTAGGATGTTTTTACAATTTTCACGTTGCTGCCAAGTGTTTAAATAGGAAAAAATTGGATCATTATCTGTCAGTAAAAATGTATTCGTTATTGAGGGGTAAAATACGTTAGCTGACGAATCCATTAAGTGGCAATCGAATTGTTAGTAGCACGTGTAGAATCAAACTGAAACGACATTTTGAAAGTAGATGCTGAATTAGATGGAGTCGCATTACATACAAACGACGGTGATGATAAATTAGACGATAGATGAGACTATAAAAACCGATAATTATCGATAGAAGATCGATGAAATTTGAATTCATTGCTTGCGAGCGTATGTTGAGAGGAATTAGCAGTGGTTCGAGCAAGGGGGAAAAAGCGGATTCCTGGACTCCTATGGACTTCCATGGACTTCTATGGACTTCTGAAGTCCAGGAGTCCAAGAGCTCCTGTAAAGCTCAACATCAACCAGTTTCCATATACAACATCTCAATGAACATCTAATTCGTATATAAAGAGCCGATCAACGACACATCTCATATTTCTCAGGTCGACGTGAATGCACGCTTTGTTAAACATACATTACTTGTGATCTTGAATAATAAATAGATATATATAAAAGATCTCGAGTATAAAAGGAACAATAAAAAAAAGATAGAAATATCACAGTTAAATTACAATCGGTGATGATGATATCTGAACATTAGTTCTTTTTTGTTTGTTATTTTTCTTTACAAATTCTTTCATTAATGAACAATTCAATGTTTTTATATGTTTGTAAAAATTTGACAAGTGAAATTTATTATCCTTTTTCGTTAATGAGAAATTTGAGCCACATTTACATATAATTGCTGCTTCTAAAATATTATGGTTATCATGTAATTTTAATGTAAAATCTTCTCCACCTCTTAATTGAAAATCATCTAACCAGCGTTTTCTTTCTTATCTAAACACCACTGTTTAATTAATTTTAATATAAAATCTTTATGTTCATGTATTGTCATTGGTGGTGGTGGTAATGGAGGAGCTGAATTAGTTGAAACTGGTGCTATGATTATAATCGATGATGATGGTGGTGGAGTGGAATTACTAGCAGCTGTTGTTATGGTTGTTTGTTGTTTTGATTTTACTTTTGTCTCTTTCATTATTTCTTCATTTTTTTTCAGAAATAGTTCTTTTAAATATTTAATATTTGCTGTAATACCAGCTTTCAAAAGAAATGAACCACCAGCTTCTAGAAATGGTGATTGTGGTCAAAGAGAGAGTGAAATTTTAGGCCGAAATTTTTGTAAAAGGCTGGTTGAATTTTATTTTGGAGAGTGATGAAAGAGGGAAGAGAAAATCATTCTTTGTATTTGATCAGTATATATATGTCCGAATACAATTCACTTTTTGTCAAGCAAGTGCATCCGAATAGAACATCGTATAGTGTAAGCGGACAATCATAAAATCACCGGTAGGTTGCTTCTTGGAAATGTTTTTAGTTGCATTTGAAGTTTGGAGCATTTTTCACAGGCGGTTCTATTTTGATGACGCAATTTTTCTCGCATGGTCGTCTATATATTGCGTAGTCAATGACAGATACCCATATACACAGTTCACATAGTCATATATGCAGAGGCAGTTATGCATATATCACGTAGTCATAAGTATACAAAGATTTTCTACTGTTAATATCTATTTGACTTATTTTAGATTTCTGTTCAAACTTTATTTGCTATGAGCAACAATAACGACATTTATGATGTATCTCTAGTACCAGACAATGTGTTTACATTGGATGGTAATGATTTTTATCAATTAGTACAATCACTAGTCGGTGAAACTGTTTGTGAGATTCTCAGAATACAATCAATAAATTCCACAAGATCATTTTTGAATACTGACGATGTGTTAGAAATTTTTAAATATGATTCGCCTGATTTAATTAGTATTAAAAATAAATCATGTCACAAAATGACGAATGGTCATTATATTATTAAAGCTGGAATTCAAAGCAGTTTAGCATATTTAACAAAATTATTAGAAATAAAACAAGATCAGCAACAATCCATCATGAATAATGACAATAATAATAGTAATGAACAAACATTGCCATATGAAATTATAAATAACAATTCAATGTTAAGATCATTATTTTCTTGGTACGAACAAAATGAAAATATGAGTAATAGCAATAGCAATAGCAATGACAAACAAATATTTTTGTCATCATTTATTGATAACATAACGAAGAACCTTTCAAAACCAAAACATAATTACCGATACAACGAATCTATTAAACGTTTTGCTGTAGCATTATTCATATTAGGTGGTAAATTAACATATGAATTTGTTAGAATGAATTTGATTGCTGCTGCATTACCAACTATTCCAACATTAAATAATTTGATATTAAATGCAAATCTTAGAGTAGCAGAAGCAGAATTTAGATTTGATGCATTACAGCAACATTTATTATCAATTCATACAAAACTTGGTTTTGTATCAGAAGATTGCACCGGTGCTATAAGAAAAATAAAATATGATGTAACAACTAATTCATTTGTCGGTTTTGCAGCACCACTCGCTAATGGAGTCCCAATTGCTCAATTTTATCAAACAGATTCTTACAAACAACTAAAATCATGGTTCGATACAATTGATAAAGGACCATTATTAAACGTACATATGTTTCAACCATTACCATCCAATAATACAAGGTGAGCTTGTTAATATATTATGAATTCATTTTCTAACATTTCTTTGTCGATATGAATTAGCCGTTTTCCCTTTCTTTCAACGAGAACTTGTTTCCTTATTTGACTACGTAATTTTTGTCTCTTTTTTTTAGTTCATCAAGTTCATTTTTATTATCTGGTTATGGTGTTGCTGATACATATACATCAAATGATATTGTTCGTCGTTGGATTTCTATTTTTGAGAATTGTTTTCAAAAACAAATTCGTATTATTGGCTTTTCAAGAGGTGTTATTCTATTTCTTAGTCTATTCTTGTAAACAGAAATGACTATGAACTGTATTGACACGCTTTTCTTTCTCTTACAATAGATGATGATAACAAATATATGAGAGCAATGCGTTTAATGAGTGGATTCTTTGCATCTCTTCCAAATATGAAATTACATCAGCGACCAGAAGCATTTGAAATACATTTACCATCAAAATGGCCGTGGTTTTATCTTCGACGACAACAATTATTATTATTTCTACAGGATCCGACATATTTAGCTACAAAGTGGAGAAATCGTTTATTATCTTCAACAGCACAACTCATGATGGGTCAACAATTAATTTCCATACAGCATTTGCAAGATATTATTGATAGTGACGCATATTCTAAACGTGATCATGGTCTTGTTCGGACAGATATTAATCCTAAAGACAGACAAAATTATCGTTCTTGTGAAAAACTGACATCAAATGATTTGTTACATATTGTACGTAGTAATCCCAAGACATCAGGAACATTT